AATCAGCGAGTTGGTGGCCACCGTCCTGGCCCCACGACGGCTCACATCTGAGTACGACGTTCATCAATTGGACCGGACCTCCCCCTCAGCCTAATCTCCTATCCGGGGCCCCCCAAGGCTCCGTGTTTTCTCGGTTCCCACTAGGTTTCCGCATGATAGCTGCCAGGTTCTGCTCGTGTGGATCCTGCCAACCCTACCCTCCCATCCAGTCTACCCTTGTAACCAAACCCTGCTTCATCCCCGGTGTCCTACCCTGATTATCCCCTCCCCACCCCCCACCCCCATGCTAATTGGGTGATTCTGTTCTCCTCCATGTGATCCTACAGGAGGAGCTACCGACGAACCCTTTCCAAATTCTTCACTACACCTTGGCACAAGCGGTGCCCGTTTTTATTGGCTGACTGTTGTCAGTTACTTCCGTCTTGTACGTTTATTGGCATGTTAGATTCCTCGCCTTGAGACGCTTACTCGCGCGAAGGATGTGGCGCACACCTACGTGGCACACCCATTCGGGCGAGTTTGCTCGGACTGGCTCACCTCCTGTTCTGGCACTTTTTTAATTAGTTGGTTAAAAATTCACGTGGCACATCTCGTTACGAGCCTTGTTCGTTGAGTAAAAAAAAAAAAAATATGTGGCACACCTATGGCACATCTTTGCTTAATTTTGCGGATGTGGCGCACGTTCACGTGGCACATCTAGTTACGACCCTTCGTTCGATGTGGCGCACGTTCACGTGGCACATCTAATTACCAGCCTTGTTCAATGTGGCGCACGTTCAGTGGCACATTGCTCCACATGTCATCTGCGGATGTCCTACACATCATCCTACCACAGCCTCTCCGTGTCCTACTCCGACGTGACGACCCCCCCTCAGCGTGCGAACTTCAACTCTGGCACGACACACGGCCGTCTGACACGTGGTTTCTACCTGACTTTATTGGACTTAACCTTGCATTAGAGACTTGGCTCTGAGCACCAGCCGCTCGACGATACTGTTCGTTGCTACTTAGTGTTAGTTGTGTTATCAGTTAACTAGTTACTTGTTAGTCAGCCATCACCGCTAACAATCATTTCACAATTCCTCACCCCGCCACCAGCCATCGCCGCCGCCCAGCCGTATCAGGAGTTGTGTGACGTCAGGGACCCTGAACTGCGTGCCTTGACCAACTTGTTACCGTCAGTCCTCATTGCCGATAGATCAACGAACACCGTCAAAAAGTACACCCGCTCCTTCCTCCGCTGGAAAGCCTTCGCGACCGACAAACACTTACCGTATCTACCGGCGAAAGGCCCCCACGTAGCGCTGTACCTTCTCCACCTTCTACAGTCTTCACGCTCACCAGCCCCCCTCGACGCGGCATGCTTTGCCATAGCATGGGCTCACCGTAAAACTGGCCACCCTTCCCCCCATCTACATCCGCTACCAGCACAAATTCTACAGGCAGCGAAACGCCTCCTTGCAACGCCGACTACCAAGAAGTTGCCTCTTTCCATCCGGGACATTCGCAAGCTGATTTCCACACACCTGTCACCATCTACCAACCTTGACGTTCTGCAAACCTTATGCATTATCGTCCTAGGTTTCTCCGGCTTCCTTCGCTGGGATGACCTCAGCCAACTACACGCGGACGACGTCTGTTTCTGCGATGGATACGTCGCCCTATTTCTAGAGAAGCGCAAAAACGACCAGTTTCGGGAAGGACACTGGATCTGTATTGCCCAAACACACAACAACACTTGTCCCGTATCCCTCCTACGCCGCTTCCTCCGCACCTCCAAGTCCTCCGGTCACGTGAAGCTGTTCCGCCGGATCGCCAACTTCCGTGACAACCTGTCCCTACGTTGCGAACCTATCTCGTACACCCGAGCCCGTGAGAAGGTGCTGTTACTG